CCCCCGGCCCCCCCCCCCCCCAGCATACTATGCATCTGAATCAGCCACTATAACGAGATGTGGAATGAATTCTGTTATTGACTTTATCACAGGTGTTGCAAAAACAATTAAACACATCAAACTTCAGAAAAGCTTAATATTTTTGCAGTTCTCATAATCTGTAATATTACAGTAAAAATGAATTAGGTGTCAGCAAGTGGTCAAAGGTTATAATATATCATTACAATCCTTTGAAAACTCAAAACATAATTTACTTTCTAAATTTCATAATTTCATTCACATATTATAACATCTATTAATATAAAGTAACATAGATCTATCTTTATGTTTATGGTAATCTTGCTAGGCCTTTGAGCAATGTCACTATAAAATATATATGTATATATTGTATATATATGTATAATGGTGTCTGATTTTTTGCCATTTCGTCTCTTCGTTATTTTAACACTTTTCTTACTAAAAGCACCGAGCAGGCGACACATCCACTCCCGTGGAATTCTTGTCTTCATTCATTCGTTCCTTCGCCATAGCTTGGTCTCTAGAGAAGCTACGGAACGTCAAATTAAAGGAATGGTTATTCTTGTTATATTTACTTGCCATGGAGGGACGATAATTATAGTTCCTTCATTCCATTTAATACAAATGAGACTGGCAATAATTAGCATTCATTTGCCTCTTTACAATGTAAAATAATGAAGAAACAAAATAGCACAAATCAGCCATGATGTATAATTTGTAACCCACTATAAAATTTAATTCATATGAAGTACAGTGTATTATCAAATTATTTATAATGTGCTGCCTTTATCAATTGGAAAGTGTATATAACTCGATCTCTGTTGTGTGTAGACAGGCCCCGTGATCCCCATGCCAGTACCATCAAGCTACAATGACATCACACAGGACAAATCACTGCGGGACTTTATCGGCTGGGTTTGGTATGACCGAGAGTTCTACGTCCCATCATCGTGGCTTGGTCAGCGCGTCATCCTGAGACTGGAGAGTGTCCGCTACTATAGCATCGTGGTTTGTTTTTTACAATATACTCGTCATCTTGTACAAATATATGTGAAGAGTCTTCAGTATATATTGTAGGTTTCTGCTGAAGTTTAGTATTTTCAGTTCCTGACCTCATCTTGTCTGAAGTTCCTACATGGGTTTTTAATACTTTTTCATTGTGCTTTGTTCATTGTCATTGACTTTTTATGTCTCTGAAAGGCAGCACATTCCTCCATATAATTTTTCATAGGTTCCATCTTGTTAATGATTTAAACATTATTTCATATCTTATACAGTGTAACAATGAACCTAGGACTTTCATTTTGGTCAAAATATGGTTATATGGACCTTAGAAAGTGATACTGATCATGACCTTAACCACAGAATTAGATAAGTTATCTATGTCTGTGCCTCAACGAATCAAAAGTACATAAATGATAAATATATGAATCAATATGCTGATTTATATGAGTACTTTATACAATAGTTTAAAAACTAAATGTATGGTTCAATGCATTGAAAGAATTATGTTACAATGTGAAAAGATAGTTCAACATGCTGATATGTTCTTTTTCAGTGGGTGAATGGCGTACAAGTGGCGGAACATGAAATGGGACATTTGCCCTTTGAAGGGAACATTGGGCCTGTTGCTCAATTTGGGGGACACAATAGAGTAACAGTGGCTGTCAACAACACTCTGACACCATACACACTCCCTCCAGGAAAAATACAGCACAAGTCTGGGCCAGGGTGAGTACAGGAAAACCCACATCAAAAACTCCCGACACAAACACTGTCCACTGGGTAGGAGTATAGTACAGTCTGGGCCAGGGTGAGTACAGGAAAAACCCACATTATCAAAAACTCCCCAACACCAAACACTGTCAACTGGGTAGAATATACATGTACAAGTCTTGGCCAGGGTACAAACAGGAAAACCCACATTATCCAAAACTCCTTGACACCAGACACTGTCCAATGTGTAAATTAAGGTACAGTACAAATCTGGGCCAGGGTGAGTACAGGAAAACCCACATTATCAAAAACTCCCTGACACCAGACACTGTCCACTGGGTAGAAAATACAGTACAAATCTGGGCCAGGGTGAGTACAGGAAAACCCAATTTATCCAAGAATCCCTGTCAGGGGGTACGCAGAGTAGTTAAGTTGTCCGCCTGCCTACAATCACTAGCCCTCTACAACTGGGTCGTGTGTTTTAGACCTACTTGGAGCAGGCAACAGGTACTGGCCGCAGGTTGGTGGTTTTTCTCCGGGTACTCTAGTTTTCCTCCACCCTCAAAGCCTGGTTCATCCTTAAATCCAGGTATTGATGCAGTGATCAAAGTTTATTAATTAAGATTACATTTTTCCGTGTTTCGTTTATTTCAGATATCCAAAGGACTATTTTGTACAAATTTTGCAGTTTGGATTCTTCAACTATGCAGGCATTGACCGTCCGGTAAAACTGTACACAACTCCATCTACCTATATAGACGACATTACAATCCACACTGATATATCTGGGAATAACGGTAAGTCTAATAAAGATGGACAATGGGGCATAGGGCAAGGGAGATAAATCTTTCAAAAGACTGCTTTACTCCTTCTAATCATTTCAGGGTCCCAGTTTTAATTTCTTATAAATATGAAATATTTCTTAATAACTTATGTCTCTGAACTTCACAATGACATGTACTAAGGACAATGATACTGGTCTGTTCTATGGCAACTATATGCCATCCAATCTTAACCCGACTGTCCGGAGTTTCCACTGCACATTAAACAACGAAACAAAAAACATGATCTCATTTGCTGGACCATTGGAGGAAGTATTTCAAAAGCAACTTCTTAGATATAATTGAGTTTAAATTGCACAGGATATTGATGAAATACAGTTAAGTATATACATTTAGTATTCTAAGCTCTCTAGCAAGTCACAGAGGTGAAATTACAATTTGTCTCAAACACTCAATTTTTTGTTTAATCATTTGATCATGGTTGGTTGGTATNTTGATCATTGGTTGGTTGGTAGACTGGGTCTCATTCTGTAAAAAGTCAAAAAGTCAAATTTTAACAACCCATTTTAAATTTCTCTTTTAATACAAATTTGACTGTACATGTACATACAATTGTTGTTTATGTCCACGTCCTATGGATGAGGATGTTGTTATGGTGCTCTGTGTTGACTCCCTTGTTATACTGACACCCTCTTTATACCAACAAAATAGCCCAGAACAGAAGGTGGCGGTTAAACAAGGTTTTACTGTTTTGTGATACAAATTAAAATACATTCATTTATCATGATACACGGTTTGCGTATTTTGACAGCCCTTAACTGATTCACCCCAGAAATTTCATAATGAACTATTCCAAACTTTGATCTGGAAGAGTTCAAATGTGTCTTCAGGGGTGAATGAGTTAAGTAAACTTGTTACTGTTGCAGGAATACTGTCCTGGAGCATTGTGCCTGGTGGGCTGTGTAACCCTAATGTAAAACTGTGCAAAGTTGCTGTAGAAATTCTGTCAAAAAAAGGAATGACCGTTGCTTTGAGTGCTGACCTTCAGGGACAAGTCAAGGTCGAAAACGTTCAAGCTTGGTGGCCATTCTCCATGAATGAATCCTCACCTGCATATCTGTACACAATGCAGGTTAGTGTCCCAAAAATATCCCAAGAAAATAAGTTCTTCCACTTATTGTTTACAAATCTGCAAAGTATTGTATACTTGTTTGCTGCCTACAAAAATGTAATTGGAAAATATGTGGTCGTAATATTTTTTTCACTGCAAGATTTATTGAAAATTGAATTTTTCACCAGTTAAAGATAAAAAAATGTAAATTCTATTGGTAGAATTATATTTCACTCTAGTATTCAATAAAAAAAAATCACAGGAGAAAAGCATTAAGTTTTTGTCTAACGAAAACACACATTAAACTAAGTAGAGAAAAACATAACATGGAAAATGAAAAACGTCTTTAAAGATTCAATTGAAGTGAGAAAATATTTAGGGCATATTTGCACTATAATAAAAAATAATGTATTTTGCATTCACAGAGTTGATGTAAACTGTATCTTTAAATAAATTAAACAGGTCTCTCTCAAAAGAATGTCCAACAACATTAGTAAAAGGGTGAACAGCAACAAAAATTATAATCTAACCTACATAGTAGGTAATTAATGAGAATACTGTAACAGGTGAAAAATGCACTGCTAGACATGGATTTGAACCTGGGACCCCCTGTCAAACTCTAGACGGACGCCTAGTCCGAATTATTCTGACGTTTTATCAACTTTTTTCATATCGGTCTGTCGTCAACGTTAATCGACGACAGACTGATATGAAAAAAGTCGAATAAACGTCAGAATAATTCGGACTAACGGACGCCCTGACTAATTGAGCTATACTGTACCTGATTGCCAACAATCGACCCAATCCAGTTTCTCTTAACAAGCACCCCTGGTGCTAATTACAAAGAATATGGTAAATATGAATTATGTTTGTGCTACCATAAGCAATAAATAGTGTTTTATTCCTGAACTAACGATTTTAAAATATGTAGGAAAGATCACCTTAAAAGAAAAACTTTGAAATTATGAGATAAAACCTATTATATTGACAAGTTAATGTATGATTGACAGGTGACCCTGAAGTCGGAGAACACCACCGATGTCTATCGTCTGCCGTTCGGCTTCAGAACTGTGTCACTTAGCAACAACGGAATCCTCATCAACAAAAGGTCGTTCTATTGTCATGGTGTCGGCAAACACGAAGACTATGACGTAAGTTTATAAGGTTTGAATTAAAATAAGTATTTTGGAGATGGTCCAGAGATTCATTAAAGATACAAGACGCTTTTACTAGATTGCACTTACTTGTTTATCTTTTTTCACATGACTTTGCTGTATGGAATGATACCAGTACATAATTGTACTATGTGCTGTCCACCAGCATAATTTTAATTGCCATTTTTTGTAAAATCCAGTTTTTGTACAACAATTATCAAAAAATTAATAATGACATGTAAATATCAATATTCATGTACATAATATACATGTTTTTATCATTACTTCAATTCAATATGATGTGTGTAAACTGTTTATAACTGTAAGGAGAGGGCGCTCATAGGCTTTGCCTGTTGCCCAATTCCTTTGCATCTAAGATCTGAACAATAAATATTCTGAAATGGAATGAATTAAAATACAGTATCTTATGTCTAACAGTTTGTGTTGGGTTACAGTTTCTTTTATCCGCTTAGTAGCCATTACTGTAATTTGCATAGACAAACACGAGTTTCACACAACACTGCATGTGTCTTTGTCTTTGCATACATCTCCATCTTTCACATTTTATAGTGCCCTAGCCAATAACTTTTCTAGAATTTGCAGATGTCACAGAAAATATCCATACACAAAATTTAACTTATCATGTCAATTTGTACCTTAATGTTGTTGAAAAGTATACTGTGTACCAAAGGAGATTATCTCTTGTCCAAGATGGCGGACTGCCAGAATCGTCGAATTTTTTTCATGAAAACTTGAAATTGCTTATACCTATGTATTTTGTGCACCCCCCACTTTGGGTATTAAATTTCTGAAAAAAAGTGTGCAAATTACATGGGTTTTTACAGTATTCTGCACTCATAACTTCAAAATATATCTATAACATTATTAGAATTTCACTAAAATTGATGGAGACAAAGAAATTTAAGTCGGTTGAATTTTTTCATACTAAGAACTGATGTGAACTTGATGAATGAATCGGACACTAGAGGGTTTGATATTTCTGTAACTGGAAAGAGAATAGTGTGTTTCCACACCGGGGATGGAAACCTCGATTTCCAGGTTCACAGTCGGACGCTCTACCACTGAGCTAAAGGGAAATTCCCTCTAGCTCAAAGCTAGAAGGCGACCGTAATCCTATGCCACATTTCTTTCTCCCCCATTGACAAAGATATCCACACTTACGGTCATAGAAAGATACAACTGTCATACCCTAGGGTATTATGGGCGGATTCCCCTGTCATAACAATTGCATGACATCATGTAGACATTTCTGATTTTGCTGGAAATTATGAAATCAACGTATGCATTTCATGAAATAACCACTTACATTTGATGTGGAAGAAAACTAATAATTCACCACATTAGGAATAAGATAGAAATTTCTCAACCCTCGGTGTAAGATTCTTAAAAGTCAAGCCCTCACCAAAGCCTCGGGCTAGGCATTACAGAATCTTACCCCTTGGGTCGCGACCTTTTCTGTCTTACCCCCAACGTAATTTTTTCAAGCTCTAGATGTGTATCGGTTGTAAATCTGATTATATCTACAAGCAGTTTATTTTCTCTATTCTACAGGTGAGAGGTAAAGGTGTGGACAATGCTATGGTCGTCCGTGATTTCAGTCTGTTACGGTGGCTGGGTGTCAACTGTTTCAGAACCTCCCACTACCCCTACGCTGATGAGATTATGGACCAAGCTGACCAGTTAGGCATTGTAGTCATTGATGAGTGTCCAGCCATTGGTTTGACAGAGTGAGTTTGTCATAGTCTTGTGTGAGTCTGCTAAAGTTTATCCATAATAGCGAGCACAAAATGTATGATGTATAGACATAAACTGTCATTAACTCATTCACCCCTACATTTTGAAACTGGACTTGCCCTGTCTTTGATATGGTAAGGTTCAAATACAACTTTAGGGTTAAATGGGTTAAAGCTGTCCGAAATCGTATTCGTGTACAAATACAGGAAACCCCACTAACTCGAACCTGTGGGGTCTAGATTGATAGTTTGAGAAATACATGGTATTCTACAAATCTGAGGTTGGGTTGAGACTGTTAGGTACTGATCTATTTTACATCAGGAAAGATTTTGAACAGCTCTGCTAATGTTTAGCATGTCGCTAATAGCAATGATATATATGTAAGTAATAGAAAGAAAAGGAGGAGAATAGAGAAGATCTGCAACATTTCATAAGAAACGAAATTATTAAAATACTTATTCATATATAGCAATCATGTAACGACAATAGACAATGCAATAGATGGAATTAAAACTAATATAAGACCATGGTGTTGGGGGATATCAAAGTTACAGGAATACAAGATAATTCAAATTATGACTATTTTAGTGCACTTAGAGGCTACTTTACAGGGAATCTGTAGAAACAGAGTTCAGACCAAGCAAACTGGTAGACGAACGTTGGTGTTTGAGAAAGATGGATTTTACTGTGCTTATTTTGACATACTGGAATTTAAGCACATTATTAGCATGTGTATACTGTATATCCGGAAATGTTTGCCTAGTGAAACTTTCACCCTTCTTCCATAAACTCAATTTTCGCCAAGTGTTAATATATCAACTTTCACATAAAATGACTTTAATTATTATGTTATCTACCTATATTAGATGTAATGATAAATTTGCCCTCATTACAGAGGGCGAAAAAGGCAAAAATGAAACTGCAGCGAAAATGTCCAGGTATACAGTGACCTTATTGGCAATGTTGCAAAGGTACATTTGTATAGTGTCATCTTCTTTGATAGAATTCTCAGAGGGTTTCATTTTGTTAAATCATTTATTGATGTATTGCAGACCAGTAAATTACAACAACCAAACACTGTATCTTCACAAAAAGTCCATGATGGAACTGGTGCGACGAGACAAGAATCGCCCTTCAGTCATCCTGTGGTCTATTGGCAATGAGCCTCTGTCATCATATGCTGGTGCAGGGCCTCATTTTGGGTAGGTGTACAGGTGTGGGGCCTCACTTTGATTAAATGTTCAGATGTGTAGCCTGGTATATTGGTGCAGGACCTCACATTTATTTGATGTAAAGGTGTAGAGACTTACTTTGGACAGGTGTGAAGCCTCACTTTGGACAGGTGTTGGGTCTCACTTTGGGTAGGTGTATCGGTGTGGGGCCTCACTTTGGGTAGGTGTACAGGTGTGGGGCCTCACTTTGTGGGGTCTCACTTTGGGTGGGTGATCAGGTGTGGGGCCTCACTTTGGGTAGGTGATCAGGTGTGGGGCCTCACTTTGGTTAATTTAACAGACATGGAGTCTGGTACACAGGTGCAGTTTTAAAGTTTTAATTTGGGTATCGAAAAGTTATACCTATTTGTAACTTATTTCAGCCTCACATGTATTAGATGTACAGGTGTGGGGCCTCACTTCGGATATGTATACAGATTTAGGGCTTCAAATTTATTAAGTGTGCAGATGTGGGCCCTCATCATATGAAGATGTACAGGTGCAGGCTTCATACTGTACATGTAAATCATCAAATTTTTCGCCCTTTTTTGGAAAATGTGTAATGACTTTTGGGACATATACTGTACATGTAGCTTAAGTTCTCCTGGGGGGAAAGGCCAAAATTTGGCCACAAATATCACTATTTGGATAGGTGTGCTGGCCCCGGAGTAAAACCCTCTCATTAGATATAAGCATAAAAGTCTACTTGCTTCACCTTTGGTAGGAGCTCAAATCTGGGCCTCATTTTGCAATTTATGTAGGTACAATGTAGGCATGTAGGTGTGTTGCCTCATTTTGGGTTGGTGTACCAGTGTAGATCCAGGCTTAGGGTCAGTTCTTGGAGAAGATGAGCAATATAAGTATTCTAAACATACATCAGATTTATCTTTCTAAATTTCACCCCAGGGAGGTCATCAAAGTCACGAAGCAGTTGGATCCTTATCGACCTTTAACTTTTGCTTCCAATAATGTAAACCCTCACACCGACCATGTGGTATGTATTTAACAAATTTCTATAGTAATTTCTCAACGACTGTATAGTGTTTTTAACTCACCTGCCCGAAGGGTAAGTGAGCTTATGCCATTGCGTGGCGTCCGTCCTTAATACTTTAAACAACTTCTTCTCAATAACCGAAAGGCCCAGGGTACTGATGTGGGCCTGTAGCATGCTGGGATGAAGGGCTCCCAAGTTTGTTCAAATGAATGACCTTGACCAACTTTCAAGGTCACTGGGGTCAAATGTCTTTAAATATTCAAACAACTTCTTCTCAATAACCGAAAGGCCCAGGGAACTGATATGGGCCTGTAGCATGCTGGGATGAAGGCCTACCAAGTTTGTTCAAATGAATGACCTTGACATATATTCAAGGTCACAGGAGTCAAATATGTTAAAAACCTTTAAAAGACTTCTTAATAAGCAATAGGCAAAGGGTCATGATATTTGGCCATTAACATGCTGGGATGAAAGACTACCAAGTGAATGACCTTCGCCCATATTCAAGGTCACAGCTAGGTGTCAATATATGTTTACATTTTTAAATGACTTGTTCTGTATAACCAAAAGGTCCAGAGTAATGATATTTTGCCAGAAGCATGCTGGGTTGGAAGACTATCAACTCTGTTCAACCTTATGTCCTTGTTCAACATTCAAGTTCACATGCATCATATGTTTAAATCTTTTAATAGGTTCGTATGAATCAAACACTGATATTTTGCCTGTAGCTTTATTTTAGTCCACTTTTAATATTACAAGTGTGAGATTAATACCAGGTGAGCGATGCAGGCCCATTGTGCCTCTTGTTTATGATAGTATAGTTTTGTAATATTTCACACTGATCTTGTTGGAGATATTTTGTTGTGATACAGTTTTCAAATATACAACATTTGATATAATGCTCTATCTAGCTAGAAAATGACACTCTAAAGTGCTTTACAGTTCATAGATATACAATTTATACAATCAATACAATTAACATACACATTAAATAATACACAAATCAATACAATTTTGAGGAGCTGCCTTATCAGGCGCTAACTGCAAGTTCTATGCCACCTGGCTAATATCTCCCTATGTGTGTTTGCCTGCCTATTTGCTGGAGATGTATTGTGATCATATACTGTCACCTTTAAATAACAAAAGAGCAGTAAAGGTCCTTCAATCTCAGACTCAATATTCTGAGGTTTGAATGAGTTTAAGTGAGGCAGAAGAGAATTTTTAATAAAAAAGACAATATCGTATGAGTCAGGTAGATGTGGTGTGTGTAAACATCTACTTTGGTTGGTACAGCGAAAACGGCCACACGGAGGTCATTGAATACGGTGTGGAGGATGTTATCGGGGCTCTACACACTTACTACAACAAACCTGTGATGGTGTCGGAGTACGGGGCAGAGTCACTCCCAGGCCTTCATGTGGTAAGTTGACTTACACGAGAGAGCAATTATCTTTTACCAAATCAAACTTAGGTCTTTTCTTTTATTATAATTTCTGTTGTAAAACTTTTCCTATTTGAAATCGTTCAGTTGCAGGGGCATGTTGGTTTATCCATGTCTGTTGTGATTCTTTTGTACAGTTCAAAAAATCTCATGATTGGTGTTATATCTTTCACCCAAACTAATATTAAACACAGCTACTAGATAATACAATTATATTTACCATCATATGGCATTGCCACTATATAACCCTACCAAATTCAGTTGGCATTCATATAGGCTATGATTGTCATGGACCAATTGTTGACGTCATAATTGCTACGTTGGATACCACTGACCCTCCCTGGGCGATGACTGTTCTTTTCACTTTCATGATACATACATTATTTGAACTAATTGCTGAATAATAATATACAATTATTGACCTATTTTCAGGTGAATACAAGGATTTATTAACCCGAGAAATTGATATTTCCCAAGGCCAGAGGCCGAGGGAAATATCGACTCCTTCGAGGGTTAATAAATCCTCGTATTCACCTGAAAACAGGTCAATAACTGTTTTATTATATGATATTTTTATAAACTTAACCATGTGTAGCACAAATCCATACTTAGCTTATTTCACCATGATTATGGGACCTGCAATGAAATTCTGCCTACACAGAATATGTGTCTCTTTGCAATTAAAATGACCTTATATTACAGTAGCTGTTAATAACAGATAAAAAACACCATACTGTGTAATGTGAGTAAATGGGAGAAAACTCAATCAAACAAATTTAGTATTTATTTAATATAAAATACAACAATTGGGGGATGATGCACAATTCCACCTTTCTCCTCACGCTTGAGTTGTTTCGTTGCAGCATCAAACACTTTGTTGCCTTCAGTAAATTCAGCGCCATGTACTATATCCATGTTACAACCGACACTCGAAAGGCATCGGTTGATACCATGCCGGATACTAAAGAGAGAACTACGTTGATTTTGTTTTCACTGTCTTTCTACCTCATTTCCACATAAAACTTCCGATGAACATTGCAGAGTTCAAGCACCTGCATGTCAACAAAGTCTGTGTCTATTGCTTTTTCTTTCAAATATTCACGCAATACACAAACGGATGTGTCAGTAGCTTTAACAGTGTTTCTAGCATCCTTTTGCACCAAGGTAGTTTTAAGTTGGTCATCGGAAATAGTTCCAAATCTTGACAAGCCGGGTTTGTTTACACTGTCGTTTGCCATTTTCACTCCAGTGAGGCAACGACAATTAATCGGCGCTTCTGATTGGTCAAAAATTGCAGCACAGGTTACTGGATTGTAATATTCACCTGTGAGCTCGAGGCGCCCGACAGGGTGTTGGACTGTTACATTCACCTCGCGTGCACGGATTCTGTAGGTTTCGCTGTAACATTCTAATATATTTAGACCTATAAGAGGTGTTTTGACCAATCAGCGTGTGGGAAAAATGAGAGTCATATATTAATAAGTGAAATTTATTTTTTTATGCGATGAACAGATTCCAAAAATGGTAAGTATAAGTATTGAACTGCTTTCAGTTGGCATTTGAAGGCAATATGAATTCAAACTGGACAAAGGCAAATCCAGCATCAAGTGCTAGCATGCTTCATTGAATTTCCCTTTGTCCAGTTGGCATTCATATTGTGTATGCATGCCAATTGATAGCAGTTCAATGCTTAAATAAACTGGTTGGATTGGAATGTCAAAGTGCAACTTCAAAGTCGAAGATAGGGTTGTGGAAATGTTTTTGCAAGGAAAATGTAAGGACCATTGGGTGTGATGTACCTTGTAATGAATTCGAGAAAGGTTTTAATTTTGGTGACACAGTGGATTTTTTTTTTCGTACAGAGTCCATCGTTCTCCTACTCAGAAGAATACCAAAATGATCTGCTGGCTGCTCATCATAAGGCATTTGATAAGATCAAGGGGAAAACTCTGGCTGGAGAAATGATCTGGAACTTCGCAGATTTCTTAATTGATCAAGGTAAATTCTATTAAATTCACACAGAGGAAAGAAATATCACTTTGCCATTGCGTGGCGTCCGTCCTAATACTTTAAACATCTTCTCAATAACCGAAAGGCCCAGGGTACTGATGTGGGCCTGTAGCATGCTGGGATGAAGGGCTATCAAGTTTGTTCAAATGAATGACCTTGACCAACTTTCAAGGTCACAGAGGTCAAATGCCTTAAAATCTTCAAACAACTTCTTCTCAATAACCGAAAGGCCCAGGGTACTGATATGGGCCTGTAGCATGCTGGGATGAAGGGCTACCAAGTTTGTTCAAATGAATGACCTTGACATATATTCAATTGATCAAGGTAAATTCTATTAAATTCACTCAGAGGAAAGAAATATCACTTTGCAATCTTTTGAGTAATATTTCAAAGTAAAATTTTCATCTGAATTACATTGTGAAAGCATTTCAAATGTTTATGTTAATATTGACTATTTTTAGTGGAAACCTACTGCTGTAAGATTAGTTTTGTGTTTATTACTGATATCCGCAAAAAAGTCAAATAGAGTGTTGAAGTATTTAAGTTATAATACATGTATATAGCACACAGTGCCCTCCCTTTACTCTTATTTCAGCATCCAAAATCCCATAGCCACCTGTGCCTTTTTCCCCCTATTATTTTTCAATTTTGATGTAAGTAAGCTCTCTGTCATAAATTCATTCCAATTCCCTTGATTTCAAGTGTCATAATGGCTGTTAATGCGTGGTGTTGTGGTCTGTTAGAGCGCGCTGTATGGCCCAACACCGCCGTCTTCAGCACTGACCAATTCCCTTGATACTAGTCCTCCCTTTTAGCACCATTACCACTATACTTACTCCCCTGGCTATAATCCCTTCTCTTTGCAGTCATTTTCACTTTCTATTAAAACAATTTCCCCATTTAGCACCATTTCCACCTTCCATGATTACCCCAATCCCTAGCACCATTTCCACTTCAGGTGATAACCCCAACCCCTAGCACCATTTCCACTTCCTGTGATGACCCCAATCCCTAGCACCATTTCCACTTCCTGTGATAACCCCAATCCCTAGCACCATTTCCACTTTCTGTGATAACCCCAATTCCTAGCACCATTTCCACTTCCTGTGATGAGCCCAATTCCTAGCACCATTTCCACTTCCTGTGATGAGCCCAATTCCTAGCACCATTTCCACTTCCTGTGATAACCCCAACCCCTAGCACCATTTCCACTTTCTGTGATAACCCCAATCCCTAGCACCATTTCCACTTCCTGTGATAACCCCAATTCCTAGCACCATTTCCACTTCCTGTGATAACCCCAATCCCTAGCACCATTTCCACTTATGATTTTAAAATCCCCCTTTAGCACAATTTACTCTGAAAATGACATTCCTTCCATTTCAGTACTAAAGATAAAATTCCTTCTCGTTCAGCACTCTTTCCATTTCCCCAATACATTTCACAATTAACAATTTCCATTACAATCTCATTCTGTATCATCTTTTCCTGTTTCAGCGTCCCTCAGAAATGTTTCCTATCATGTTTTAGTGACACATATTTACTTATGTTTACAGAAGTTAGATGACCTTATGGCTGCCACAAAGGTCTGTTTACACGTCAGCGACAACCCAAATTTGCAGCTCACCTTGTGAGACGAAGATACTACAACCTCATGAACAGAACTGTGGATAGAGTTTATTGAAATGCATGTCAGTTACCATGACAACAAAAAATCTCTTTTTCTATTGCTTCATTGGTCCTAGGTTTATATATTTAACAGGTTTTCAGAAGCCAATATTTACTAAATTTTGTTTAAAATTACTTTTTGCTGAAATGCATTTATAAAGTCACTTATACTGTACAGTCAAACTTGTTTTAAGGGCCCACTGTTTGAAAGTCAAAATGTGGTCTCTCAACACAGGTGGTTTAGATCTCCTACTACAAGTTCAGTTCCCAATGAAATCACAATAATGAGGGAAGCGTAAAATGGTTTCTAAACATGGGTGGTCTTTTCATAGAGATAGTGTGTATATTGCTGTTTGTACATACTAAACACAGAGTGGCACCCTCAGGATTCTAATGCTGGGACCAGAGAATTATTGTTTTCTTTATACTACAGTCAGTATTTTAAGTGTATATATACAGAAATTCTGTCTTTATATGTGTCGAGATTAATTGTTTTAACTCTTAAAGAGTAATGTGTGAAAAACATGTGGTGCTTTATGATATACTGTACACCGGGAAAGTCTCGCTGCAGTTTAATTTCGCCTTTTTCGCCTTCCACAATGAGGGTAAATTTATCAGGACAGCGAATATTGGTAAACAATTTACCCTATATATAGTAGTTACGTGTGAAGGGTAAATTACACGGGGTGAATAAAGATTTTACCAGTGAAGGGCAAATATTTGACTGGGCAAAAATGTACCTGTGTGCTGTAGTCTTTCATAGAGAGTGAAGTTTTATATGTTCATTTGTATAAATGGAGTACCTGTGTGGGTCACAAATGGGTTTTATTTTTATTGTGGTACATGCTCATGGTTATTGCTGGTCCCCCATCAGATACACTGGAGGTGTCTTTAGGTTTGCATTTTGTCCAATAGTCAGCCAGTCCGTCACATTATCAGGAGTATTTTTACATTTTCATGCACAAATATTTCAATTATATATGCAGCTAAAATTGGGAATTGTGTCTTGCTTTATACAGAGTTATCGCCCTTGTTTTACGGTGAATAAGTTTGTACTTGGCATATCTCATATAGTTTATTGATTTCTACATCTTGTATGTTAGTACAATGTACCTCTTGTGAGGATTGAGTGTCGAGGACAGATATAGGGTTATGTGTCTCATTATAAATAGAGTTATGGCCCTTTGTATTATTTTGATACAAAAGTGTGTCCAGAGATGGATTGCTTGCGATTGTTTTCTTTGTTGATGTGTGTATATTGAATTTTTTTTTATTATTGTTATATGATGTTCGTTTCTGCTTCTCTGTGATTAAACTATGCTATAGTACGTTAAACAATATAAAACCAAACCAAGCCTGTAACATCAACTAAAGGAGAGATAGGTAAATTTCTTTGGCAAATGATATTTAACCAATCAGAAAGCAGAAGGATCGATAGTCGGGCAGTAAAACAATGGCAGATGGCAACAAACAGCTGTCCGATAATCAAAAGGAATAATCATTAAAGTTTGGTAGCATAGCGGAATATTCCTTCCAACAGAACTTAATTGGAAAAAGTTTAAAAATATGCAAACAAATCATTGAGGACTCCGTAGATAGCTTCAAGGATTATTTGGCAGGACAGCAAAAATATTTTGAAACTTTGTCTAAAATCTGTAAGTGTGAAACCAGATTTTATATGTAATGTGTCATATAACAGAACAATTCTTGACTTTTCTTTAGATAACTCAGCTTGTGGCCTCCTAAAATATCACCTTGCTTGTGTCGATAATAAAAACCCATGTAAACATAAACAGTTCAAGAATTTCATATTCTTGTTTTTATTTATGGGTAAATTTACGTTTGTTGTTGTATATACACTTGTATATGCTATGATTTGATTCTTCACATAGCCCATGTCTGTTAAAGGAAATAATAGGTCTGCTGTATCCCATTACATGATTGTAGGAGGCGACTTATGTGCCCAATCGCCCTCAGAATCAGGGATGGTTTCTTCCTTGTCATCTTTCAGGGGACATTGGAAAAAAATCAATAATATACCTGCTATATCCCATTAAATATATGTATTGAACACCTCGACTAATGTAGGGCCCACTGCACAATCAGGGATATTTTTTCCTGTCTTCTATGATGAGGACAGGTAGGAGACACTTGGGGTCTTTTTGTTTCCTATTTTCCCAGTCTACTTTCTTTCTCCGGAAGTGTCTCCTAGGCAACCGTCCTCGTGTGACCCAGCTGACTGCTGGGAGGACGTTAAACTACAAACAAACAAAGACTCTTTACATGACTGTATTTCACACAACTTTATGTGTGATCAGAATGTTAATTGTGAAGTGGCATAAGTAGATACCATTGCCGAGGGCCGTGTTCATAAAACCACACTCATGCTCAAGAATGCTTTTTGTGCTCAGGCCGACTTTCCTGTAACTCACTTAAATCATTCAACACGGTCAAAAAGTCAAGTGTAAACATTGGAAACTGTTATCGGCTTAAAGTAGTTCGAGATTTCTTGACAAGATACTATTTTTTTATCAATTTATCACTGGCAAAAGAAATTGGGCTTGAGCACAGTATCTTGGTTTGAGCATGAGAAAGGTTTCAAGAATACGGGCCCAGATAATGAGGCCCGCAAACTTAAGATCCTCATACACTATTATATACTAATCTAAGCAATATATGATACTCCATACTAAGTGTGGTTGTTCTATAATCCGAGTATAAAATCACGAGGAGACATATGTCTCCTAAAAGATCAATTCTATGTCCTATTTCTCTATTTTAGCATCTAGTTATGGAAATACAATCTAGTTTACTTAAACTACCATTTTACAGAACTTTACAGAACACAACCTACATTACAAACTCATGGTCTATCTTAACTAAGTACCATCTAAGTTGTAAATCCATGGCCTAAATTATGTTAGCGTATTATTAGAGCATCATGCATCTACATTTTAAAACCATGTCTTAATTATCGGGCCGTGGCCTAATTTTCAGGAACATAACACCTAATCTTAGATTAGACTTAAAATGTTCAACACTCTAAGGTAAATGTTTGAAATTTACGATCTGAACATATGCATGATATCATCCTCCAAATGTGTTTGATAAATCGGCACGTCTAATTACCCAATACTACCCAATACCACCCAATACTACCCAATACTACCCAATACCACCCAATACTACCCAATACTACCCCATACGACCCAGTTATGAACCAAATACTTCTTTATTACTGTGAAATATCACCTTTGTAGACGTTATTTACTTCCATCTGCCATATTTTATCGGGAAATATGCGATTTGGTGCCGAAAACATCACCGAATTGCCGTGACTATGACCCAATACTACCCCATACCACCCAATACTACCCCATACGATCCAGTTATGAACCCAATACTTCTTTATTACTGTGAAATATCGCATTTCTTGAAGTTATTTACTTCTATATGTCACATCCTATCTGGACATATGCGATTTGGTGCAGAAAACATCACCGAAATGCCGTGACTAGGGGTTCGACGATTTACAGGAACGGGCAGGATCGGGCAGAAAACTATTAATTATTATATATACATTGATGAATATATATATTTAATTAGATACATTTAAGTATCATTATCGGGTATAAGATATATTTGATAAAAGAATTGCAATTACATGATACTATATTAATTCTATTCATGTCATAAAATGGTGTTATTAAGATCATATATATAAATTTAGCAGGAAATATTTAGAAAATTTTAAATTACTTTTCATAAATGTTAGTTATTCAATTTTGTTAAACATAACAGTATCAATTATATAACAATGCTGGAGAAGAACCTTCAGTTAAATTAGATACTCAAATACTACGAAATTCAAAAAGTATATGGATTGTATATGATTCGAAGTCCTTTCAATTACTTGATTAACTCACAGATAGTCTGTTTTGGACAAGCTAGATATTTTTTCCATATATAGTTCCCTGACCAATCTTATGAAGGGTAGACGAGTAGGTTGTCATTAAGTAATGTAAAAATTAAATAGATTAATAAAAGGAATTACGTTACGCTTCTTATACATCAATCCAGAGACGTATATATTACATTACGTAATATATACGTCTTTGATCATCCGAAAGCAAAATACTAAATGACATGAAAACTTGATTCGACTCCCAGAGATACTGTATACACATATACTTTATTCAACTCGTTGGCCATCTCAAGTAAATGTGATCTCTATAGATACATGGTAGATACCGTGATGTTGCAATTTTATTTAACATCTAAGTCCGTGATCTAAATCACAGTTACAGGTAAATATATATATTATAATTTAATTTTATAATGTCTTCCGAGGAATTACAAATTCCACTTGCAAACCACTTATATAATATGTACAGAAGACGTAGCAGTCTATGTGATTAGTTATAATTTTAAACAGTGTCTTGTAAGCCATTTTAGGCTGAACATCATATACAATTACATTTTCTATTTAATGCATTTGTTAAATATGATACCAGGTGTCAATCAGAAACATTTTTTTATGAAAATAATCTTCCGTTTAAATATAATTAGCTACTAGTTAGTGTGAATTTAGCAGACCTCGCTGGAAGGGGGCTCCCCAACCCTTGGAAATCTAAATTTCACTACAATGTAGAACTAGGAAATTATTCATTTTATTTATCACCATTGTTATTGTTTTTTTAAAGACATCATGTTTTAAGGCAGTAAATATAAAAGAAACCTTTTAACTATTATAGTATGTAATATGTAAGGACAAAATCCAGGAGTTTGTTAGGTAGGGGCTGTCCCAATCACCTGCTCTCTGGATTGGCACATGTGATAGTTTGTTTTAATTTATTAATGTATTATGTATAATAGCTGTTCTTAACAAAATTATGATATTATAAATTATGTAACTATATGTGTTTATACTGTGTAACTATATACTTGTACGATGTAATTGTGATATATGACACTATAATAAACAAAATTGACTTGACTTGACTTAACTATATATATATATATATATATAGAATATGCAATGAAGACGAAAACGGAGATAAATTTTGAATAGAATTGGCAAATAGAGGATTTCCCCCAAAATTACTTGTAGTCAACTAAATTAGAACAAATGTTTAAATAATTTTATTATGCAATGAACGTTATAAACGTATTGACGTACATGAACATTCTACGGATTTTTTTTTATTTATAACAACTATCGATATAATATGTATAAATATAGATTTGTTCCAATATATACTAAAGATACATGGTCGTGAAAAGTAAATCTACTCTTACTAAATACTCGTCAAATTTATTTAAACAAATTTAAGTCTTTAAAAACATCAAGTTATATGAATGCATAACCACGGACTTTATCTAATTCCGTGTACAATATCTAATTTTAAACATAAACTTAGTCCCGTGCAATTGAATAGATTCTTGATATATGAAATCCATTTAAAATCAGCGAAATCATTTTTATGTAAATTCAGCATAAGCTTGTACATTATACTAGACAATTTATTTTCACCTGTAATTAGTTTATACCAAAACATTATCATTCTAGATTTAATTTCAATATCCAGCGAGTACCTACCCGTTTCACCATATACCATTATATTTGCTGTGGAGCTACGTATGTTTAAAATTCTTTAACAAAACTGTACACGTAATTTCTCAATCATATTGGTATTTTCAAACCCCAAAATTACTTTTTGAAACGTATATAGATATTAAAGCATGAAGGATAAATATATTTTCAGTTGTAGAGTAGCCTTTCCTTAAACCAGCTTGAACATTGGAACAAGAAGTCTATTGTCTACTATTACGGAATTAGATAATCAGTTTTGACCACATCGGCCTTTGAAAAAAAATGAAACTTAAAGCGTTTCACCGTGTTTCTTTCTTCTTTACATATACAATTAATATACAGTATCGTTTTTCTATAACAGATAAGGCCTAACAATCCAACATATGGACTTCAATATTTATTTACGTAAAACACGTATTTCAATTAACTTATATTTACATATAGAATAATATTTAATTTTCAGATTGATGTCCCTTTTTTGAGTTGGAAAATTGCGTATTTTCTTTTTTTTAAGATCGTAGACGTGATGGGATTGTAATCTACACATTAACACCAATTAATTCACTCAAAATATATTCATGCTATTTATTAAGAGTTGAGTATAAGTTATGAAGTTATTAAAATTTAGTTATCATAATGTCATTTCCAATGTTTCAGGTGTTATGACATCGCAATAACAATGTCATATATATAAATGAGAAAATAACTCAGATACATATTTATTATATATGTAATATATAATTCTCTGAACAACCCTTTTTTATAGAATAAAACAGAGACATAAATTGGAACCTCGGCCTGGCAATTTATATATATATATATATATATATATTCCGATCCTGCCCCGTTCCTGTAATTGCAATTCTTTTATCAAATATACCTTATACCAGATAAGGATAATTAAATATATACAATAAATATATATAAATAAGTCCGATCCTGCCCCGTTTCTGTCCGTTCCTGTAAATCGTCGACCGTTCTTGCCCGATCCATATCAATACAATACTTTTTTTTAA